GGCATGCACATGGCGCCGCGGCGTCTTCTGGCCGGAGGCGCGCCCGTGCTAGCTCCGTGGATGTCGCCGCCTTCTCGCCGGGGGCCACACGGCATGCATATGCATGAGGCAGGCCGCCGCAACCGGACACCGGGAGAAGTTTGTGAGCAGGATCCTTGCTTCTTTGTACGTATGTTGTACATGATGAATACTCCCATCTATACTTATCTATCTATCGCCAATCTGTGGGCAGCACGTGAACCCTTGTCTCTGGCCGGCTCCAGTCCGGTCCAGCGATCGAGCCAGCTACCAATGGTGTGAGGAGAAATCACCTGTGCTACTCGCGTGCTACTAGCTACTCCCTTCATTCTGAATTACTTGTCTTAGATTTGTCTAGATATGGATGTATCTAGACTCATATCCATGACAAGTAATTTAGAACGAAGGTAGTAGTACGTAGCTGCTACCCACAATCCCGTTGCGTGAGTGGCTCACTTGTTTGGCTCCATTGTGCTGACCTTTTTGGCCGGCCTGTTTGATTGGTACCACAATACAGTGCAAATTATGCAATCATCTTTTTTTCTGTACGCATGTTCGCCACCATCTCCCGTACGTACACCGCTTTTGTTTCATGGCGATGGACCGACCGATCGGCCTAGGTGCCTAGCTAGGCATATGATAGACAATACCATTGGCGCACACTCGCCTTCCCGTTGCCACGACAACATAATCAGGATGGGTCACCACAATGGCCTTTTCTCTTGTCTTTTTTGCCCCTTCCAACCGGGCTAACCACATTCGCATCAATTGCTCCAAGGAAATACCAAATTTGTTACACCAACAAAAAAGCCGGAAAAATAAAAGAGTGAGTTGGAGCACTGAAAGAAAAATCAATGCAATTTGAAAATGCTCACCCTCGAAGCAAATACCTATTAGCTCGTATACAAGATCATATGCATCAGAATTATACAATGAATTGGCGAACAAATGGCCTCGCCGAACAATTTCAATAGAATCGTAAAGAAGAGACACACGATATACCAAGGCCCGGACCCCTGTGAGATGGGTAAAGAGCCCTTCCAACCTGTTTTATCTCGAGTAGTACAATGATGAGTGAAAAGTAGGAGCAATTTCAATCGGACGATCCATTTTATCCGCTTGTGTCCATTTGGGTCGACGCGGATACAAAAGTTAGTCCAATGCGCCGACTCAAATAGACGCGCGTCTACTTTTCGTCCGCGGGCGACTTATTCCCGGCCCATTTTTAAGCCGGATTTGCGTCGGCGCGGACACAAGAAGGACGCGCGTGCGCTCGCCTTCTCCTTCCTCGGGCCCGCTGGTCGGTGGCACATTGGCCTAACTCATTCCAACAACAACCCTCGTCCGCCTCCTTTGTCGCTGACACCGCCGCCCATTTTTTCCGGCAACTCTGCCAGCTGCCGCAACCGCAATATCCGCTCGGCAACGCCGCCAAACTCCCAAATCATCCGCCGACGTCGTCTTGCCGTCGAAGAGCCGACTGCTTCCCACCCCCGCTCCCCCACACCCCGACACAGCTGCCACCGCGACCAAGAAGCCGCCCCGGCCAGATCCTTACCGGCACGCTCGTCGCACGCCGGCCCACTCGTCGGATGCCGGCAGGGCAGCTAGCTAGTCCGTGCGCGTCGCGACTCTCTTCATCGGCCGTCTCCTTCGTCGACGCCCGCAAGCTGTTCGACAGTTTGCCAAGGTACAAAATGAACTCCGCCGACGAGTTCTTTTTTCACAATTTCCTTTGCGATTCCGACGATTCGTCGTGCGATGACGAGGAGGAGATATTGGCTGCCGTGTTGGTCCATCACCACCTCAATAGCCAGCAGCCGTTGTTCGTGGCTCCATTTCGGACCACCTTCCGGCGTTGAATTGCAACCGAGAGAGCGGGCATTTCCTTCTTTGGAAGGACTGCTTTGATACAACAAATCCATTGTTCAAACATCAAAAATTCCGCCGCCGTTTTCATATGAGTAGGCATCTTTTCAACCGTATTAGAGTGGGGGTGGTCGGCTATGATGACTATTTCGAGTGCAAAGAGGATGCCGTTGGTAAGATTGGTTTCTCCTCTTATAAGAAATGTACTGCCGCCATCCGAGTGCTTGCATACGGAGTGCCCGGTGATCTCATTGATGAGTACGTCCGTATGACCGAGTCTACATGCCTAGAGTCCCTGTATAAGTTCTGCAAGACTGTTATTGTTGTGTTTGGCCCTGAATACTTGAGAGAGTCGACTCCTGAAGATACAACTCGTTTGTTGACGATGAATGCCAGCAGGGACTTCACATATATGCTTGACAGTATAGACTACATGCATTGGGAGTGGAAGAACTGCCCTTCTTCTTTTATTGAGCTTGCAAAACTATGTGAGAGATTTTTATTTTTATTCGGCTGGTAAAACTATGCTATTTTATTTAGTTCAAACTATATTATTTGACTATTGTTATGCAAAATCAATACGTGAGCTATTTGTTGAAATATGGCGGTTAGCCGGCCACGTCGGCATATATGGGTTGGCGCGTTGGACGCGTTGCTAACCCATATCGAAAACAGGGCGGACGCTATAGATAAAAAGCGGACGAAATCGCCGTCGGTTTAGGTCAGCC